AGGGGTGGAAACACAGTCCCACCATCTGCCATGGGTTGATTCAAGTTGTACTGGAGAAGGGTGAGGCCCCAGAACACATACAATACATTGACGACATCATTGTATGGGGGAACACAGCAAAGGAAGTTTTTGACAAAGGAGAGAAGATTATCCAGATTCTCCTCAAAGCTGGTTTTGCCATTAAGAAGAGCAAGGTCAAGGGACCTGTCAGAGAGATCCAATTCCTAGGGGTGAAATGGCAAGATGGAAGGTGCCAGATTCCAACTGACATCATCAATAAAATCGTAGCAATGGCTCCACCAACAAAAAAAAAGGAGACCCAAGCTTTTCTGGGAGCCATAGGCTTCTGGAGGATGCACATCCCAGAGTACAGCCAAATTGTGAGCCCTCTTTATTTTGTGACCCGTAAAAAGAATGATTTCCAATGGGGTCCTGAACAACAGCAGGCTTTCAGGCAGATCAAGCAAGAGATTGCACATGCCGTGGCTCTTGGACCAGTTAGGACCGGACCACATGTAAAGAATGTACTTTACACTGCATCTGGAGATAGTGGTCCCTCCTGGAGCCTCTGGCAAAAGGTGCCTGGTGAAACACGAGGGCAACCACTTGGCTTCTGGAGCCAAAGCTACAGAGGATCTGAAGCCAACTACACCCCTATGGAGAAGGAAATACTGGCGGCATATGAAGGCATACAAGCAGCTTCTGAAGTGATTGGCACTGAAGCGCAGCTCTTCCTGAGCACCCCGACTACCGGTGCTGAGTTGGATGTTCAAAGGGAAAGTGCATGAGATCGAGTTACACCTGACACTGTATCATTAATTTGCTCAAGAAAGTGAGAAAACCGCTCGCCGACCACAAGAGGTACATGTCAATCATATATGGGGGCCCCCCTGGCAGAGCACTCTGAAGGGCTTATTGAGATCTACCCCAAAAAGATAAGAGAAGCTTAGAACAGATAAAATGCCGCGATCACGAGGTCCATAATGGCCAAGTATCCCCAGCCATTAGTAACGGAGAGCAAAGATAGGAAAATTAATCAAGTTATGGCCCTGACTGAGGAACCAGAGGCGTAAATACCCAATAAGGGTATCCCTGGATGTAGGATTTGCCATTTCCAAAGTTTGTGTTGTATGATGATTTTCATGAAGTGTCTTAAACTTTATCTTCTGAGGTGGATCCCTCTCTTAGTTTTTCAGTCACTTGTAAAAATTTGATTATTCCCTTCCTGTCCACTACTGGGAGTGTCAGGATGGAGGTGGAACGTGTCAGTGACAAAGTGCTCCAAAGCCCTCCTGGCTGCAGGGGAAACTCCTGCAACTAAAGGGTGCTTTGGGTCTCCCCAACAAGGAAACTGTTTGGCACTGCTGTGGTCTCCCCTTCAGGAGTGAGGGGTTATCCTTAAGGAGGAGTATCTATAATAAAACTCTGCCAAATGCTGGAAATATGATCCACGACTCCACCTGATTAGGGCCAACAGCCGCTATGTGGAACATTTGCTCCTGCCTGCTATACAGCTGCATACTACAGTGTAACTATTTGTGGGCCTGGTTCCAGTGGGGTTTATAGAAGGCAAAATACTACCAATGGATTTGATTACTGCCTGACAACACACTGCAAAGGCTGCAGCAAATTGCAATGGCTGCAAAATAACCTTTTTGCAAGGGTTGCCTGACATGTGTCCTCCTAGTGAGAAATTCCCCAGCCGTGAGGTGATGGAGTTAAATGGCTCCCTGCAGTTCTGCTCTTTTTTTCCCTTCTTAAGGCTTCCAGGTTGTTTTTAGTGCTGCCTCTGTGCCTCCCCCATGGCTGGCTGTCTTCCCTGCTGCAGAGGAAGCAAAGCAGTGTACTGTCATGTTCAGGCTTAGAGGGTGGCCAGTCATTACAAGATCTATTGCCCATTTTGGCCTAATCTGCCATCTTTCACCCTCTGGCTAAAGTGGAGGGGAGTGCAGAGCATCTGAGAGTAGCTGCAAGCTGTCCTGTCCAGAACAGAGGGCAGCAAAAACAAATGGCTTTTGTGCCTCTGAAGTTGAGGGATACATGAAAAAGAACTTAATTTTCTCCTCTCCTTTCTGCTGGCAACTTTCATCATTTAGATTATCCAAATATTGGTGATGGGATTGTTCTTAGGTGGTCCTAGGCTGTGCTCAAAAGCTTCCTCCCCATGAGGGGCAGGGAGGGCACAGGTTTCCTTGTGATAAGCTGCTTTTGCCTTCCCCTTGCTGTGCTGCTGTAAACTGGATTTGTGAAATGATCCAGAGTAAAAGCCACCACCCTTCTTCCCTCAAAGCAGTAGCATGGAGACAGAAACAAGCACGTGACTGAGGTGAGGAGGGAGGTAAAACAGAAGTGTCTTCAGGCAGCTCTATTGCAGGAGGAAACAGCAGGGACCACCATGTTGAAGATGAAATCTGGCTGGGGGAACACTTGGGAATACACAGCTTTGTGGACATGGCTGTGTCTGTCCCAAATCAGCAGTTGTATGGAGAACTGTTTTGTTCTGGTTTTCCCCGACAGCTTTTGAGGGGAGTGAGTTTTTGGCTCTGAAACAGAAAAAATCTGGCAGGATGCAAAGATGTGCTGGTCTTTTCTGGGTCTCAGAGCAGCCATACATTGCAACCACCTAGGCAGTCAGAGCCCTTCCCGTTCAACTTCTGCTTTCAAAGGTCAGCTGGGGCAATGGGGTGGTACCAGGGTGGTGGCAACGCTCACCCTCAGACACCAGATGCCACGTTTGTAGCAGTGCCAGGATGGCCATTGGCACAGCAAGCCCCTCATCTTCTCCGTGGTCTTGCAGAGCATCACCCAAGTCAAGCAATGCCATGTCTGTGGTAGCAGCATTCCTGATCCTCAGGCCTTGCAATTCAGGAGGGCTTCCACATTTCCATCTGTCTCCTGCACACATACTATTCCCACAGTATACGAACACACCCTTACCCATGTGGGCTTTTAGGTTTGAGCAACTTTCCCGAGAGCTGAATCCCAGTTCTCCTGAGGTCGGATTTAGCAGTGAGGAGTGCAGGCATGTGTTTGGAAACAGCAGGGTGGCTGCTGCTGTTGGGCTGCATTGCCACCTGCTGGGGCCATGCAGCCCCTTGCTGCGGTCACTGCCACCCTTCAGCATGGAATCCCCAAGCCAGCAACCCTGCCAGGAGAAAGCGCAGCTGGGCCTCCGCTATGTTTCTTCAGGTGCTTATTTGGGGCAGATCTGCTTCCTGCTCTGTTGGATTTTGTCTTTAGGCACTAGTAAACAATAAAATCTCTTGCGACAAATCAACTGTATGTGCTGGGAACTTGCTGGCCTGGAGCAGGACTTGTGGTCCTGTTGGGACGAGCCACATTCCCTGTGTTGCCATCTGAAAATCCCACCTGGGTTTGGCCAAGGTATTTTGTTGTGGTGGGAAAACACAAACAAAGTAAGCGGGAAGGAGGGAAAAGTGAGATAGTGGTACAGAGGGATGGAAGTCAGATGGGATGCTGGAGACAAACAAGGTCTGGCTGGACAGCTCACATAAGCCAGCAGCTTTGTGCTCCCCTCATGGCTGCTTCTCTTTTGTGGTACTGCATGTGGGACATAAAGCCTCCATTCCTCGCCTAGCTCCAGGCCTGTCAGATGGGAACAATGCCTGTGGTGGGGCAGAAGGCCGAGTTCTCTTCTGCTGTGCCTTTACCCTATCAACTCTACAAGGGCGCCTGCCACACTGCAGACAGCAGCCTACTCCAAAGTGGTTTCAAAGGGAAGTCAGTGTGCATCAAAGGACTGTGGTGGTAGTTCATAAATGGATTTATCAGATGAGTGTGTGACTGACTGCAAAGGCTGATGGGGCTAAGGACCGCTCATAGCTGGATTTGTTTGGCCATGTGTTAGCCATGGACTAACTGTGCTGGTCACGGTTTGTGGGCATTTGAGAAGTTAAGAATCAGAAACGAAATAATTTGGGCAGAGGGCAATAACGTATCTGTCTTCTTGTACTGTCCCTATGTCACCTCTTTGATAGCTGAGGCTGCTGTCAGCTCTCGAGAGCTGAAACCACAGCAGGCTCTCAGGGGACATGCACTCCTACAGATGGTGTTTGGTTTACAGTAGTTGGGATGTTTTTCATCCTGCTGATGATACCAGTATACAAAGGGGGTAAAGACAAACTGAGCCCAATGATAAAGCATTCAAAATATACTTTTTGCTTATTTCTTGGGAACATAAGGTACTTTTTAAAAAATAACACAAACCCACCACCATGGACAAACATAACCATCACCAAGTGTTAAATGTCTGTTTCTGATAAAGTCCCTCTCAGGCAGCTTGCTGAAGCAGCAGCTGTTTTGTGTTTTCAGGCTTTGTCTTGTTCCCTCTCCTTGGCATAAAGATGAGTGGAAGTGGGCAGCACCAGCACCACACACCTGTATGAGAAAGGAAAGCTAACCAGAAAAACTGCACTATGCTGCTTTTCCATCCTCATTCCTGGACCTTCTCCCTCAAGACCTTTACAACAAACCTTAACAGAAATGGAAACTGTAGAAAGCCAGGTTCTGTAGGACCTCAGGCAACCTAATATATGTGCAGGATCACCTTCATCCATGTCACTCCTGACAGTCTGGCCTTCTTCCCTCTGGTGCTGGACAGTCACAGCCTCCCTGAGGCAGCCTGTTCCTCCTTCTACTGAGCAGGAGGGTGCATTTCTGGGAGGATCCACATCCTCCTTTTGCTGGCCAGCACTGCACACAGGTGTATTTTGGTGCAATTAACAGTAACTGCCAGGACTGTGGTCTCCAATGGAAGCCACAGTGGGAGGATGCAGTCTTGGATGGACGCAGCACTGCAAAAGGATGCCTTGGGAGGAAAGCAGAGGACTGGTCTCAGTGGATTGGAGATGAGGAAAAAATGAGAAATACTCTTAACACTCAGGATGGGTGGGAGGCCACTGAGCCTCCAGGAGCTGCCACAGTTGGTTGCTGTGGCATATGTTGATCTCTTCAGACAGGAAGTAAAAATAACTCAAAGCTTGGTCATTTCAGCATTTTTATTAAACAGTGCTCCACTCAGCAGTTGTACACATGGCCCTGATAGTCCCCCATCAGTGTACAAACCCTGGGAGGTTATGCTGTCATGACACTGTGACACAGGCTGTGCAAACCATCTCCTTTACAGAAGCAGTACCCAGAAGAAACCCAGGCTCAATGTGCCTACTCTGCTACCATACCAGCCAAGCTGGAAGGTAACTCCAAGAGAGCCTCATGTGGTGTTTGATTAGCCAGCTCCTACCTCCTCCCTCTCTGCAACCTCCCTGCTCAGGCCCTGTGAATGATAGGGAATGCCTGCTGCTGAGCCTGCATCAGCCTGAGGCTTCTAACAGGGATGCCCAGCCCCAAGCAGATGAGCTTCTCTGTATTTCAGGCTGTCTTTTGGTGGACTTGCAGAAACCTGTGATTGCAGCAGGAGCGTGGGCTTTGAGGAAAAGTTCTCGAGGGGTCTGCCTCTGCCACTGGGGCTTGGCTGCCCTGCGTTCAGGCACATGTGGGCAAGTTGTGTTAGTATGCCAGGTTTGGTGGTCCTGCTCCACTGTTTCCGGTGCTGGAGTGTGGCTGTGCTGCCCTGCAGCTCTCACCTGTTCTCATAGCCTGAGGCACTCAGCAGCTGGGCCCTTGAAAGATCAAAACCCACAGCCAGTTCTGTGCAGGCTGAGGAGCTGCCCTCAAAGTAGTGCAGCTGTATCTGGAACTTTCCCTGCAATCAGTGCTTAGTTCATGCTCAGTGCTAAGGAAGTGCTTTACAGGGTCAGGTCTCTGCTGCAAATCGGTGCAGCATCAGCTAAAGGACGGAAAATCAGAGTTACCCCTTGCTAAGTATCTGGTCTGCTTGACAGGTCAAAGCTAGTTAACCTAGGGCAAATTTTCCAGTTGGGTAAATGTGTGGTTGCAAATCAAACTACAACAAGCAGTAGCAAGGTAAATGAGTGACTCAAATTATCCAGGTTTGGGAAAGCTTATAAAAGAAAACATGTAAACAACATCTACTACAGCCAGTAGGTTAAACACTGACAGAATTCAGTGGAATATATTTCTTTTCCCTTGCTGCTGGTGCACCTGGCACCACCTAGCACACAAATTTAAATAAAGACTGCAAAATAAACTCTCAAAACTAACAAGAAGAGACCACACCAGCCAGCATGCTCAGCTCACTTTTAGACTGGAGTTTTCCATTAGATGACCCACAGACCAACAAGGTTTAATGGAAGATGGCAGTGGATTACTTGTCTGCCACAGGAAAAAAAATGCACGAAAGAGCTATACATAGCCTTTGCCTTTAAAGCAAATGGGTGGAAATTCAGGACAAGCCTTTGGCATGTCAGTTCCAGCTCTGCCACTTGCAAGATGACATTAACAACATAAAAAGACTTCATAGTCCATCACATTTGCCTCACATGGCACAGCCCAGCTACTGAATCACATACTGCCTGGGTGCTCAGAGAGAAAACACTTAAAAACAACTTGCAGGGGAACAGTCTCACTTTTCCATCTTTTGTCTTACATAGGCAACAAAATTCCTGCAACTATTTGTCAGCATAAAAAGAAATGAAACAGCCCAACTTACATTTAATAGAAACTTTTTCCCAGGAAATGGGATACATAAAATAGCAAAACTCTGTAGCCAACAAAATACTGTACAGTTTTCCCCTGCTCCCACACGCACCCCTGCGCTTTTACGGGACACCAGCAAAATCTGCATTCTGTCTTTTAAACTGAAGCAACATAGTAAGATGACTAGAAATGTTAGAGAACTCAGCATGCCCTCAAGAGGATGGATTACGTTCAGTTAGGTGAAAAATGAATGATGAGTCTGGAAGAAGGAGAAAACAGCTTTCAACTGTGTTTCCACGTGTGGAAAGATTCAGGCAGGAAACTGTCAAGCTCAGCTTCAGAGTTCAAATGCAGGGAACTTGGCCTTGGTTGGCACCAGCAGGTCAGCAAGAAAGTAAATTGTTCCAGCCATTCCTGAGGATAAAAAACCATGCTATGCTTCAGAAAGATTCCCTTTGGGCACCCATTTTTTTCAGTTATTCACGGGTGAATAAGTCATGAAGACAGAAGAAAAGGCCCTAAATAATTTCCAAGGTCTAAACCCAGGTTTCCCAAGCAGCTTTGGTATTTCAGTGAGGAAAGCATTTTGACATTCATCAAACATTGAAAAGCACCAGGGAAAACACAATGGGTCCTTTCCCCCTCCAGCTCCCTCCCTTCTGCTTTACTGGTGCCCAAGCTTAACACTCTGAGCAGCTCTGCCCAACTCTGGTCCCTGTGACACTGCTGCCCGAGGTCCTCACTGATGGAACTGTCACTGTAAACAGACATTAGCCTGTGCTATAGGGAGACTGCTCCTGGGAACAGGGTAAAAACAGTGAGAACAATTTCCTTTCCATCCTCTACACTGAGTTTTGTAACGGCTTCAGTGGCACGTGGATTTGGTTTTCCTTGGTGCTGGACCAGTTCTGATCCAGGAGGAAAACACAAGGCTAGAGACTGAGGTTACCTTCAAAGAGGGAGAATGGTGTGTCTGGAGTCCGGCACCCGTGTTGCCCATAGCTTAAACACCACTCTGCAAACTGAGAAAAGAGGAACAAAAAGCATTCAAATTTGGTTAAAGACAAATCTTGAAAAAAAAAAATACCACCCTCATCCTCATGCTGCCCCTCGCATAGCAAGGCTTCTGTGGGAAGTCCCTTCTATACAGGCTGTCAGACAGTGACTGCACTGCTGAAGGACTCTCCAGGCGCAGCTGGTCAGATCTAGCTGTTGTGTCTGCCACAATAGGAACTGGGTTTCAAATGCAAAAGTGGTGCTGTAGAAGGCAGAAGTGAATAATCCCCTCTCTCTTCCTCAGGCTCTTACCTTGCAGGCCCTGTAGAGGTATTTCATGTTCTGAGTGAGGTTGTACAGTGCCAGGAAGCTGTAAGCATTACCAGCTGTCCCGTGGCACAGCCCGTAGCCTTTCTTTAGTAATCCGTACTGCCAGATCACTTCTGCACACTGCAGGGCATCGTTCAGGTACTGCTGCTCCCCAAAGACCTGCAGAGGCAAGAAACAGTTGTCCTTGCTGAGGTGATTTGCTCCAAAGAGCTTCCCTGTGTGTTGTAGAGGCCTGGGTTAATTAGTTTCTCTCCTACTGGAAATTACTTTGCTGTCTACTTTAAAGGAGGATGTTTTTGATATTGATAGAAGAAACAGAAACTTTACTCACAGTATCTCGGAATGCCCAAATAAGGAACAGTATGCTCTTAGAGAAGTCCTAGAAAATTCTGTAAGGATGTGCTCAAACAAAGCAGATATAAAGCTCTGTGTACCCAAACAAGATAATATAAAGAACGAATGTAACAGTTTTTGGTGGTGAAACACAATGATGCTGTACCTGCTGTAGCTGCTCAAGAACTGAGGTAATGACAATGAAGAAGACCTGGAAAGACCAAAGGACTTCCAATAGTGGTGTGACTATGTAAACAAACTAATGAATATGTATTAAGTGGGAATACCTAATGAATATGTAAACAGTAGGTGTAATAAGAAGCCCTGTCTGTCTGTCATTTGGTATATTCCATTAGAGGAGCTCTCCTTCAAACGTCCAGCATGCTGAACAAAGAAGAATGCCCATTTTAACATCCACAAATTGGCGTTAAGAAGTTTGTTTCTGCCGCTTTTTGGTATCAATACGATGACGTGGGATGTATGACCATCACTTCACACACAACCAGCTGTCACCATCAATCACCTGCTACAGGACAACCCACACAACTGATGGGTATTTTCAGAAATATTTTTCAAAAGATTAATTTTCATATCAGTTGGCAGTCCCTGTGTGGTGATTTCACTGTAACAAGCCATCCTACTCTCAGGCGGGGAGGGTCTCACAGTGTCTTCTCTGTGATGAAGTCCCACATTAAGGGTCCCCAAAGGGTCTTTTCAAGATTTCTGGTACCTTGTAGGCCTGGACAAGCATGTAGATTACCCCTGGTGCCCCATGACACCAGTGGACAAGTAGGTCTCTTGTGTCACCGATGCATGGAGGGTAATTCCCAGATGGGAACTTGAGCTGGCAGACATAGTCCACACTGGGCTTGATTGTGTTGTGCAGCTTTACTTGGCTCGCTCCAAGGCCAGGCTAAGAGAGAGAAAGCATTAAATCAGGGAAAATTAGCATTCTGTCTGTCCCTAAGAGACCCAAGATCTGCCTGAAAGGCAGAAACAAAGCCAACTGTGGCTATGTTCCCTCTTGCTCCTTGTAAATCAAGTTATTTCTTTGGTCCAGGCCTTCAGGCTTCACAAATACCCACTCAGCCCCTGGCTGCTCTCTGTCTTTTGGCAGGGTCTTACTGCCAGTCCTGCCCCTTGCATCCCAGAAACAAAGACTGACCCTAGCATGTCACCCAGCACTCTAAGCAAGAGGGCTTGCTGCTGCTTTTCCTGAAGATGAGCAGGAACAGCTTCCATACCCAGAGCTGGAGTGAAGAGATAAACTGTCTAAAATCAGTATTAGGATGAGTGCCAGGGCTGAGTCCTAGCACCTAGAGCATCTCAGCTGTGATGCTGCATTTTCACATACGTTGCTGGGTGATTTCCAGGGGGTTACCTCTCTGTTGACCTCAGATGGAAGCAAGGGAGTGGCTCAGTGCCCCCCACAAAATCTGTGCAGTTCTGATTTCCCACAGCAGACTGCAATGAGCATTCTCACCTAAGGATCACACTGTTCCCAGGTTAATAACTGGAAAATTAAAAATCAATACCTGTGCTGTAAAACCATTAGAGATAAAAGATGTTTGTCTCCTCATATTTCACTTGTTTGCTTCCCCCAAGGCTTTTCTGCACTATGCTTGGCTGATCCAGGCTCCTTGTACTTCAGCCCATGCAGTATTTTATAGGAGACTGAAACTTAAAAATTATTTAAAACAACCAGCCTAGACAACACTGTAACCCCTGCTCTCAGCTAGCTGTTCTGGTGCTCCTGGGCAATAATCACCTTGCATACTCCTCTTGCCAAATCTACTTAAAACCCACCAACCACCCCTTCCTCTCTGAGACACAGAAGAGGGTTATATTCGCAGGAGTGCTGCTTATCATGTATGTGGGTTTTAACTTTGAGAGTCCTGAAGGAAAGCTCCTATACTTGAAACCTGGTGGCTTTTTTTCCCCACCTATTTTGAGAGTTGGGTTTAATAAAATATACCACCTATTTCTATATCAAAATAATTTGCATTGCTCATGGGTGCTTTAAAAATGCAATGTTATTTATTACTGTTATTTTTCTAAGTGCTTAAGCACTGTGAATTTATGCATAAAGTGACCCACCTAGGGGAATTATTACCCTCATTTCAGAGCCAGAGCTCCAAAGAGTTGTGCAAAATAGTGAGAAAGACAGCATCAAAGCAAAGGGGTACTGCAGCTCCCAGCCTCTTACCTTGCTCTGCCTGCTTCAGGCACTACAGAACTCAGCTCCTTTATCAAAGTCCCACCTCTTTCACATTTAGAAACAGGCTCTCATTTGGATACAAAGGCTTGTCCTGCTTCCCTACTACAAATGCAATCTCTTTCACTGTGCTTTCCTCCCAGAGATTCTCACTCCAATGATCTGAGATTGCTCCAAGTAACTACCTCAAAAAATGCAGGAAGCTCACACATACCAACAAACAGGAATACTTTATAAGCAATTGACATGAACTCAGACCCAGCTGGCCTCCAGGCCTCCGTTATGTGACACTGCTGGTGTAATGCAGGTCACATTTCCCTACAGCTCTCTATCAAGGTGGGAGATTCAGTCTGTCTTGGAGAAAACCTTCAGCAGCGAGGATGTATGATCAAACACGAGTGAGTCCGTCAGACAAAGGACCTTTCCCAGCTCGACATCACCAAGAACCAATTCAAATGCTGCTCCTTCTTCAAAGAAATGTGAAACAGCTGCTAAGGGCACCTTCCCTCCTCTCCAGTGCCTCTTACCTGCATGAGATAGTAGTAAATCCCAGCCAAACCATGGGCTGCCCCGACATAATACTCCTGGTACCACTCGTACATCAGGGGGCTCTTGGCTGTGAAATTCCTCTTTTTGGCCAGGTTCTCTCCTGAGGCTACAACTGCTTCCCAGACCTGTGGTGGGAACAGATGTGGGTTAGGGAAATGCTGCTGTCTTGGACACACCACAGTGAGTATCCTGACACACAACTAAAGCTGTTTTTCTGCCCGAGCAGAGGGAAGAGCATGAGCGAGGGAGTAAAATATATGCCAGTTCAGTACTGCCTATGGATATACATGGACAGCAGAGGGTGCACGGTGCTTTGTCCCTTTGGACAAAAAGCAGCAGGGATACCATGATGTGGTTTCTCCCTTACTGCAAGAGTTCTCTACATCTAGCATTGATTTTTACCTGCCCAAAGATGGGCTGCATAGCAAGAGACAGCAAAAGGCACAGTACCTGCTGAATGTGACTTTTAGGGATCTTTTCCTCTCCGAAGTGCTTGTTCACAAACGTCAGTGCATAGAGGTAGCCCATGCGCCCGTACAGCAGCTCATCGGGCACCCGTGGGTCAGCCTTGTGCAGGTGGAGCAAACTACGGTGAAAAATTCCCATGGGGGGCATTAGAGGACATTCAAAGCCACGGAACCAAGCACTGAGACGGCTGCTCATAACCATGGCTTGTTCCTTCATGCCGCCTGTGCCCTGGCAGATGTCAGGACAGTCTTTGTGTCACAGCCTTCCAGCTATGCAAGGTGTGGAATCACTCTTTCCCCTCTGACTTTTGTTCAGCTTTTTTAGCCTGCCCAACCCTTTATAATGCACTCACACGATGTGCTTGTGTTTTAGACCATCATCCCTGGGTAAGCTACCTGATGGGGAAACCTGAGCTTAAGGAAATTATCAGTATAAAGCTGATGATTGCTCAGGAAAGGCTGCCCACCCATTATCTCCCTTGCTGCTGGCAAGGCCAACCCTCTGCCAAAAATGACTACTTTCAAACTAAACTGGTATCCCTTTAATTTGGCTGCTTTGTGTAAAAATCTCACCCCTAATGCTCAGAAACCATGATAGAAAAGCTCCTTCCTCTCCATGCCTGCAAGTGGCCAGGGCTACACTATCAGTGGAGAAAGAGCTGCCTCCATGAACTAAAAATCTCAGAAATTAGAGGTGGAGCTACAAGCATCTGTGCACTGTGGCACATGTAAGAAATCTGCTCTAGGGAGAGCTGAGCAGCAGTGAGGACAGCTCAGCAGGGTGTGAGTGCTGTGGGCTGTCTGGGGACAACCCTACACTGAGAACAGCTTGGCATCAAGCTTTAGCCTGCAAGTGCAGAGTGACCTCTGCTGCAGTCAAGTGTTTTCTTTGCCACATTTCTATTATCATGTCGCAAAGTTGGTGATATTCCTGTAGTGCTAACAGAGACTGACAGCTCTTCACACCAAAGCTTTGTAGCCCAATTCACTTTTGATGCAATTTTTCTATTGTTTTACCTCTCATCACGCTTCCAGCAGGGCTGGATTCCTTCCCTGTCAGAGCGGCAGGTAGCAGTGTGACTGGATTTGGCTTTATTTTTCTGCTCACCCATGAGACAGCAATCTGAAAAGTTCCATCACTTTTCAAATACTAGCACAAGTATTTGCAAGGCTGTTCCCTGAGCTGCTTCCTGATGCGAAACCAGCCAGGAAAGCTCTGTGTGTGCAGGGTTTCCCTGTCACAGTATTGTGAGGAACAGAAAAGGTGCCTTGGCAGCCTTGGCTCCAGGGCCAAACAATGTGTTGCAAAGCAAAGAAGCAACCAAACATCCAGAGTACCCTCAGAGCAGAGAGAGGATGCTGGGCTGCGACTCCTCAGGGCAGGAAATTTTCCCTGGCGCTGGGCTCAATGTAAGCAGGGATACTGAAGGAGAAAGGAGGGCACAGTGTCTCAAAGAGGACGGGCCCTGCCTCCCACGTGCCACTTGAAATATGCAGTGCTCCATGGCGAAGGTTTCTCACAGATTAAACCCAGAAGAGAGGCTTTATACCCAAGACTAGGACTAAGCACAGGTTCCTCTTTCAGCTGCAGGGGCTGAAAGGAAAGCCCTGCTGCCTCCTCATGGCCTCTGTCTCCAAGTCCAAGGAAAGCACGATGAGGAGGGTTTCCAAGGAGAAAAGCAGTGTTTGGACAGACTCTGCCCAGCAGCAGGATGGCCGGAGGAGATGCTGGCTGGTGATGCTGTTCAGCTCCGAGATGTTGGGGAAATGTCAGGTGCAATAGAAGGAATGGTTGGATGGATGAACTGTAATACCCACAGTAGGGATTTTCAGAGGTCTGGGACCTTTGAAAATTCTTTTCATGGGGAAATCCGGAGCATCTGGAGCTACTATTCTTGCTCCTTATCCGTTAGTGCTTCCCTCTAGCTGCTTTCCAGGCAGGATCATCAGGGGAGGAAGCCTGCCAGTAGTTTCTGCTGGGTTTGAAATGCGGTCACGAGTGCAGCAAGAGATGCCTGGGATGCTCCTGGACTGATTGCATGTGAATGCATTTCTCAGGAGCGAGGGGTAAATCGAGATCTCTGAAAGGAAGAGCCACTCTTATTCACATACCAGCCTATTACCTCAATTGTCAGCAGTTTCTGGATAGAGGGAAATCGAGGCAGCTGTATGGCAGAATGGGATTTTTGTAAGCCAGCAGCTCTGAAAGCAAACCTTTGACCTTCTGAATTGGTGGGAGGTGACAGGGAAAAGAGGGCTCCTGGAATATGGCTCAGATTTTCACAGACTTTTGGAAAATGGGCTGCCCCGAAACAGTCTCTCTAGAGCATAAAAGCACATTTGTTAGTCATGAATTCATTTAAGAGGGAGCAAGCTTCTGTCTCTTCCACTGCAGGTAAAACCTGGCTGATGGATTCTCTCCACAGACTATGTAAAGATGAGGTCCTTTAAAAGACAGAGGACAACATGGAGAGAGGCCCTCATTCCCCACAGCTGTGACAGAAAATGCATTTTCTTGCACTGCATAGCTTAGCAACTGTTCTGTAACTAAACAGCATACTAAAAACCCACTTAAGAGTTTTGATTAAGGGAGCTACTTTTCAGAGAAATACTCTGCTTTTTAAGGAGCATGGTCAAACTTACTGCTCTGGGAATTGGGGGCAGAGTAAGGACAATATCACTGTTCCTTCGAGAAAGACACATTTTTTCCTTTCCTCCCTTTGGATGTATTAAGAAACCAATTTCCAAGGTTCTACCTTTATGATACCATTAGATGGCACTGCAGAATTAATCACAAGATTCCATTCTGCCACTGAACTGTAGGCAGAACAGGTGGGACCCACAGAGAGGAGAGCTCAGCAAGAAAACATGAATTAGGGTTCTTTTCATAACCTGGGACTTTTGTATTGATCACAACTGACCAGCACTGTTTGTCAGACTAGTTCTCTTTTTGCTAGCAAATATATTAATCATAGTGAGATTTCCCACTTTGTCAAAGTATTAAGCAAAATCCAACCCACAGATTATTACAAGGATAAAGAATTCTGTCCTCAGACTGACCATATCCATGTGAACCAGAAGCTATTCTTAGTTAAGGGAGTGGGAACTTGGTGTCCAAACTGTACAGACACTTCTGATTCCACCCATGGCTTTTTTTAATTGCTATTATACATCACTTGCTCGTGGCTGTCTAAGGGCACTCAGTGTTGTTCTGAAGCATCAGGGGTTTTGTCTTATTTTGTGCCAATCATGTGAAAATGGAAACTCTCTGCTGGGCTGTTTCTCACCTTGTCAGAACTGATCTCCCTTATGCAAGAAACACTTGCAACTCCATCTGCTTAACTCTTTTCCTTCCTCTGACACATGCTGATCTAAGATTGCTTGTTTGTTCTTTTTTTGTCTTAAGTACCCAACAAAAATACATTTGAAAAGCGTCTAGGAAAGGCAGGAAATAGAAATAAATTAATCATAACCAGCTGCACTCAGCAGTTGAAAGGGATGCTGTCAATCTTAGGTTTAAGTCAAAGTCAACTAATAAATAGCAAGTCGAAGCAAGTGCCAAAATTAAACCTAATAGTTCTACCACATTTCTCCTTTTCATCAAACTGGCTGTAAAACTAAATTGAAGGGTTCTCAAAAAACCACCAAACCCCACCTTCTGTATTTTTTCTTTTGGTTTTAATTTCGGCACTTTTTTCTTCCTGTGTTTATCAGAATTATTTTTAAGATGGCAATACCAGCTGACCAATACCCTTGCTCCCCATGCTGCCATGCAAGTGTGTCTGTCCTTAAGCCACCTCTTTCATCATGGCAGAACTAGTTTGTACTGCCTTCCTAAGTTACTGGATTATTTCTCACACAAGACTGCAACAAAACGTATTCAGGCTCGGCACAGGGTACCCATACAAGCCCAGCCCAGCTCAAGGAGCGAGGGGAACATCAGGTCAAAGACATAACCAAGTGTTTTACCGAGTGATGCAGTCTTCTGCCTGCTTGTGGTTCTGCAGTTTATGGTAGATGACAGCGGCCACTGCCAGGGGCCCAGCATCGCCACACAGGAAAGTGACGGAGCGTCTCGTCAGGCAGCTCAGGCTCTTCTTCACGTACTCCTGGGCCACCTGCAGGTAGGCTGGGTCTCCATACACATCATACAGGTGCAGATACAGCAAAGCAATGCCTGAAAAAGGAACACGGAGGCTGCATCCACCAGGAAAGTTTAATCTTCCTGCTCTCTACCCTGGCTGTTATAACAAACCTAAAAGCCCATCCCTCTTTCTCATCTAGGGCATAAGCCTTAGAGACAGGCTTCTCAGGCACATCCAGGGACACAGAGAAACAATTCCACTGCTGAACGCTCACATTACTGGCTGTCCCTTGCCTCTGTCTGCCCTGTCTTCATCCAGCTCTCGAAGCTTTTAGTAGGTAACCGAGGAGTCCTCGCTAAGGCTGTGTCTGAAAGGTCTGCCCTGTCTGAACCATCGTTTTGATCCGGGAGGCATCCTCAAACGTGCACTTAAGAAAGCTACTTGCCTAAATCACTTTGAGAAAAGCGTATTTCTGCCCTTACCAGTAACCATTTCTGAGAAGACTCAGGTCCTGCATTTAAGCCTAAATGAATAGAGCCAATCTGAAGATTTTGATGTGGTAAGGTGAGGGGAGCAAGCATGCTGTAAAATTACTTTCCACGGTACTGAGGACAATTTCAAAATTAGATCAATTTCTCATTTTGCATGCGTAATTTCCAAAGCTTTGTGCTCCAGACAAGTCAATTCTGCATGTACATTATGTATAAAATTTCCATTTCCTGCTGAAGCTAATAACCTTGTCCTCTCCTCTCTCTAAGCAGTTCAGTGCTAGTAATTCCAGAGAGAGCTCAGATGTACAGTGCCATCACTCAAGTATATAAGGATGTGGATATGAAGCCCTTCTCTGAAGGGGAACCCTCCTTTTCCAGCTAGCAAATGTCAAGTGACTCTCTTTGATTTACTGAGCACCAAGCACAGCTTCTAGACTCTAACAGGCCTGATAGTTGTCTGAGCACAACTTGCACTCTTGAGTTATCTGCTTTAATGTACAACTTTTAGTTTTGTAAGTAGCTTCTATTCCCACTATCATCATAACACCCTAATTATGTACATAACTGCCATGCCAAGAGTACTGCTAGGATTGAATTCTTAGAAAGTAAATGTTTTCCTCTGACTTCTTTTGCTCTTTTAAAACATTTCTCACTCCCTTTCTTCCCAGGCCCAAGCACCTTTGAAAAGACTCCAAAAAACCCTACCTAACCTGTACGAAAAGATGGAAGCTGCTTCCCTAAATAATTCATTTTTCCTTTTTTTTTCTTTTAAACCCAAAAGCCTTAAAAACTGAATTTGAAGTAAATTTTCTTAACTCATTCCTCATGGAATTCATACTCCCAAGCTGATCGGAAGTGCACAAGCAGTGCTGCCTTCAGCCTGCTGCTTGCTGGATCTGTGAGCCCCAAGGTGGGGAAGGCTAGCAGAGAAGGGCAGGCCCACACATAAAGAGGAAATGTTGACATGTGGATGCAGAGGACACAAAATGCAGTCCTCTGCATGGGGGATATCCTACACTGACCCATGTGTCAAGATGTGGGCAGAGTATTTCAGAGGTAGTGCAGGTTGGAGACGAGAGTTTTCACCCAATGAACTTGGCTCAGCTGGGCAGTGTTGCTCTGCAGAAGCTATTCCACAGCTCTGCCTCACTCTCTCTCCAATAATACCCTCCTTATTCCAACTGAGCAGGCAGCATTTGCTGACCGAGCGGGTGTTAGTCTGGCGTGCTTTTTGTGCTGTACATACGTGGCATCATCAGTCATGTAGGGCTAGGTAAGCTGTGGATCTGCTCTATTTCTGCGTGTCCTGGAGGCCTATGTTCAGTATCCCAGTTGGAGATGTGACCTGTTTTTTTGACTTCTGAGACTCTTGTTCCCAGCAGAACTGCCATGCAGTGGCTGCCTTGCCTGGACTTGCTTTGTACGTTGGATTGCACTATTACTGCAAGCAGTTATGCCATTCTGACTCTTCTGAACAGATGCCTCCTTGCCCACCAGGAGCTAAGCTGCGGTGTGGTCCTTCCACAAAGGACAGCAGTTTTCCAAAAGGGAAAAATTTGGTCATCAAATCTGGACCAGTTCCAAACTGACCATCTACAGCCATAAAGATCTCGGAGATCTTGTCTTGAGCCAGGGAAGTAAGTCAGCCAGCACCCTCAAAGCAGGATGTCAAACACAGAGGGAAGAAGTAGAAACCTATCTCTGCACACAGTGGTGAAGCCTGGTGGTGTCCTGTGAGACAGCTGATTTTAATGAGACAGCTCACTAAAATGAGCCAGGCATGGGGTAAAAGAGCAGTAATGGCATAGCTTTATTGCCCGGCTCAAAGGATAATAAGAATCTTTCCTGATGCAGATGCATGTGATGTTATCTCGTGCTCCTAAATGCATGCCAAAGCCATGCTGCATGAGACAGTGAGACATCTCCTCTGGAAGGCTGTATCATTCCATGTTCAAAACTGTGTGGGGAGCCACAAGTGCATTTTACTACAGCTTGCCTTAGTGCCCTGTGGGACATGGGACATTACTCAGGTGCCTCCTGCCTTTCAACCTGGGTTGCTTCTTTTGTAAAACTTTTACCCTATCATAAAATCCTACAACAGGTTAGGCTAGGAGGGATCAGTAGAGGTGATCTGATCCAACCCTCTGAAAGTAAGGCCAACTTAAAATTTACATGGCCTTGCTCTGAGCCTTGTGCAGTCAAATACTGACAATCTCCAAGAAATGGAGATTTCACAAAAACTACCCACCAAGCACTTGGCAGAATTGTGGTTTATGTGGGTGACACATCTCTCACCAAATGCAGCCTCACTGACTCTTGTTCTGTAGGGATTATCTGAGGATTTCCATTTTTCTGAACAGAACTCTCTTCAGGAGAGTCAAGTTCTCTGGGGTTTGAGGTTGAAATGAAGATACTGCACTAAAGTGAATGAAAGCTGTTTTTCCAAAAGCTTTCCTGAACTGGTACAGTCAGAATTTCTATTCCTTCTTAACTAACTTCTCTTTCATCTGGCATGTCTTTTGAAGAGCCCCTTCAAAAGGCAACTCAATCCTGCTCCTCATCCACACTGGCCGACGGGCCAGCCAAAACCTATGGATGGGACAGGCCAGTTGCATTCACGGGTCTGTTTCAGAGGCCCTTGAGCTCTGAGAGCCATGACATTGCCATAGAAGGGAATGCTCCCATGGAAAACAAATTCCAGAGGCACTGCCATGGGGTAGAGGAAAGGGAATCTCTCCGTTAAATACCGCATCACCTTGGAAGGACACAACAGTCCAGTCAGCACCGGACTCAGGAGCTTCCTAAGCATCTGCAGCTAGCTGAGAGGTGACAGGAGTGAGGTCAGTTCCCTTCCATTCCCTTCCCATCATCTGTGCTCCCAATCAAGGCAGTCTTTGGAGCAAGGCCTTTTGCACTACGAGAAATACCAACATACTCCTTGGCATCCTCGTGCTAATCTTTGGAAAAGAGATGAGGCAGCTGTACTTCTGCCAGGATCTGAACTGCTTCCAACTCTGAGTTAGCTTACAGCAGTTTACCTTCCCTCAGTCAACACTGTGATGGCAGTGAAACAGATTAAGACCACTAAAGCTCTTCCAGCAGTCTTGCTAAACTGATTAAAAGCCAAAGCAGAACTCAACAGCTGAGGCTGGTCTGTACCCAGGCACATACCAGATGCTGCCTGTGGGGCCCTGATCTCTGCTGAATGAAACCGTAACAAGCTGATTCAAACATGTTTTGAGGGCACTCAGCCTCAATAATCTTGATCCAAACTGTGTTTGCACTGCCTCTGAGCTGAAAATATAAGTCCTTCCCTATGCCAGCACATGCTGTGAATTACCTCAGTGTAATGTATGACACTCAAGTATGTTCCATTTCACACGGAGTTTGTGCCAAGAGAGCCACATTTAAGATCTCTCTTATTAGTGGCCATGAGAGTGCAGGCTGATTTCAGACTTCTGGGCAATGATTTACATGAGGAGATACCCAACATGCCTTTTCTACTTGAGCAATTACAAGAAAAAGCTGCTCTCTTGGCCCAGTTAATTTTGTCTCTGGAAAGCAGCACTGAATAAATTAATATAGCTGGGATTAGAAAGAAGGGAGGGTGACAAAATTATTAACAGAGTAATATCTGCAAACTTCGCTCCGCTGGCTGTGACCTGCAGGATATCTGCAGGTTTTTTTTAATCCTATTAGCCAAGGTGAGAAGGTGGTGTTCTCATGAGGAATGATTTCTGGAATGAAAACAGATGAATCCCTCCTGAGAAACTCCCTTCCAAATGAAAACAAGCTGAAATCCTACCAGAGCTCTAAATGGTTTCACAGCTGCAGTCACTTTCCAACATGAAGCTCCTTGGGACCATTTTAAGGAAGGAAATGTGGCCTCTGGGAGAAGGTGTCTTCCTTTCCCTCTGAGAATTTAAGTGTATTCCTAACATCAGTTAACTGTCCTACCGCTTTATCTGCTGAATTATTCTGGCCAGAGGCAGATTCTATCATCATGACTGAAGACCATCTTTACCTGAGGAGTGCTTTTCATTGAAGGGAACCTCAGAACAGGGTCACACAGCTTGGAAGACTGAATCCACTTTCCAAGAAGAAATCAGCCAGCACTGAGCAAAAATGCATAAATTCACAGGCAGTGGGAGCAGAGTGCTGCCAGGCAGCAACTGATGAAATCAATGTTCTCCCACGCTGGAATTTAATACTGGCATCCTAGCATTTCTTATGAGCTGCCTGTCTGCCATACTAAAATTTTTAAGCAGTTACTTCTGGCACTGTTGTCATCAAGCTGCAACTTCAGCTTAGCACCAATACAATTAACACCACTCTCCCTAGCACACTGTTGGCATCAAGTTCCACAGCACCCACACACAAGTGCTTTTAGCCACACCCAGACTGTGCTGTAGAAAGTTGCCATTTAGGATCACAGTGTACTGCCAGAAGAAAAAAAAAAAGCAGCAGCAGCAGTAAAAAATCTTCCAGCAAGGAGGAGATTAATTGCCACTCCCCTGGGATTTCTCCCTAGGGCCTGGCACAGTGCAGAAGGCACAGTAGCTGACAAAGCACACAGCAGCAGCTAAGGATGAAAGCAGCAAAAGGTGTGTCCTCCCTGACGCCAGTGGGCAGAAACAGGGAGAAGGCAAGGCACGCTACCAAGGAAGGAAAACTAGGATGAAATGCAGAACAGGAGAAAGACAAGCTCCTGGAAGCTTTGCACACAAGAGTTAGTGTGAGGAAGGCTTCCACACTTTGTTATACTCACATTTGCATTTCTGCTCCTTCCAGCAGGTACTGGAGCAGGACTAGCCCTGGCTAAGTGGAGGGGTACTACCTGGGGAACAGGACTGGAGAAACCTGCTAATCAGACAACGTCATCAGATAAAATTCAGCACAAACAGAGAAGATGGACACTATCACAGGCCATTAGCTCTCTGCTGCCATATGCAAGGACTCCTTGGAGATAACTAACCTACTATTGCCCCTGCCTACTTCATGGAGCACTGTATAGAGCACTGGTTTTGTCATCATCGCCACCGTGGCCAGATCTGGAGCCAGTCCCTTCTGAGGGTCCCATGTCTGCTCTCAAGCAGGTGCTGGCTTTCTCCGTTGCAAAAGCTCAGCACCATTAACCAAGGCAAGACACAATCCTGCCCTACTGCGCTATGGTCTTCCCTCTGCAACTTCAAACCTGCTTCAAAACCGGGGAGTCCTTATTTTAATCGACTAAAACACGTGGAAGAAGCACCGTTCTTGACAGGGATCTATTGTGACCATTCCAATGGCCAAACCCCCACGGTCTGCCTGGGCGTGCCGTCTGGGAGAGCTCCTGCTCCATGGGATCCGACCCTACCTGCCCAGCCGGTGTACGCGGTGCAGTCGTGCGGGTCGGCGGACTTGAGGCCCCTCTCCATCTGCTGCAGCAGCTCCCTGACTTTGTTATTCAGCCGCTGCGTGAATTCGGGGGTCAGCTGTGGAGGGAAAAGCCACCACACGTGAACGAAACACCGGCAGGCGGGTGGGCATTGGTACACACCGGGGACAGCCGGCGGGCGCCGGATGTTTTATTTAACCAGGCAGGTCTCTGCTCTACATCCCCCGGGCAGCTCCCCCCGGCCCCGCTCACCCTTCCGGCCGTGTCGAAGTAGCCGGTGGCCAAGGACTTGTCATAGTCCGCGTAGGGGTTGGGGAGCGCCCGCTGCGCCATCTCCGTCCCGCTCGGCTCGGCTCCGCCCCGGAAAGGAGGCGGTGGAGCCGCCGGTGCTCGTCCCTTCCACTTCCCGTCCCGGGGGCAAAGAGCTCCTTGCAGCCAGCCGGTCATCGGAAGTTTTTGGTCTATTTTCTAGTTGACCCTGTAGTGTTTAAGGCACGCTGCGGCTGGTCCTGCCGCGTTCGGGGCCTGTTGCAGCAGGCTCTGTGTGCTTTAGGGGCCCCTGTGGAGTTTAAGGCCTCTTGCCGCTGGCCCTGTGGGGTTTGATGGCCCCTTGCTGCTCCGCCCGTGTGCTTTAGGGAGTACCGTGGAATTTAAGGCCGCTTGTGTCTGGATCTGTGGGGTGTAGATACACTAAGAGGGTAGGGGTCCCATGTAGCTGTCTCTGTCTGATTTAGGGAGCCCTGTGGGATTTAGCGCCCCGAACAGGTGGCACTGTGGGATTTAGGGAGCCTCGTGGGATTTAGAGGTCTCATGTAGCTGGCCTGTGGGGTTTGGGCCCCATCGGACTGGCAGGCCCTGTGAGTTTAGGGCCCCTTGCACCCCCCTGTGGATTTTGAAGTCTTGAGGGGACAGGCACGGTGTGGGTGTGGTGTCCAGCTGGTGCGGGTGGGGACAGGGGGTCACTGCAAGGAGCGTGTGTTGGGTCCTGCTCCCCTCCAGCAGCAGAAGTCCCTCACTTGGATTGGGATCAGGCCTGGATGGGGGTCAGGGGCTCTTCCTCACTCTACCGTGCTGAACTGATGCATCTCCCTTGTACTCTCTGAGCCACATATTCCTCGGGAGGAGCTTAGGTCCCCATTGTAATAGAAGGGTTAACTTTGTTCGTAAAATCTTATGTGTATGAGGGAATAAGGAACTTTTGTTATAATTCAACAAGATAAGTTTCATGGACATCCTGTTAATCAAGCAAGTATCAGTAAAAATAATTGCAGACATCTTGCTAAACAAACAAGTATCAGTACTAGTAAAATTTACAGCTGATAAGAACTGCACCTTTCATCTCTGACAAATCCCAGATGACCACTCAGCAACAAGCCACGAACTCAAGCCATAAAGCAATCGCATTCAAAACTCGGGACTTGGAAATGTATAAAAAGGAACATTTACTACATTTTGGTGTGTGTCTCGGCAGGGCACTTGCCCTCCAGGCCACCCAGCGCTGTTTTGCTTTATTATTGCTTGCTTAATAAATTTATCAATGTTTAATTGGAATTGAGTTGTCTAAATTCTTGTACTAACTTATAACACCCATGACCCAATGACCTGAGCAGTGTTTTTCATCCCAAATGCAACGTAGCTGTGCTGCCCTGGCATTGGAGATCTCCCTGCTGCTGTCCTGGGGTGGTGTGACCCTTTGGAGCCACCCCCATACAGTGTACCCATATACAGCTATTGGGGAGCATTCATTGGGCTCTCTTGTCCTTGTGTGCTGTATTTCTGCATCCAGGCCTTGCTGCTTGCACACTGACTGCTGTCACTGTGCCCAGCTCCCTTTTTCTTTTCTGTCCATATCTCCATTCTTTATTGCAATGCGTAAAGTCAGAGCTTAAAGGAAAAAAAAATTATTTCAGGATATGGTGAGAAACAAACAGAAAAGAGGGAATCCCAATTATGTTTGCTTTCAGTTCCTTTTTCAGTTAGCTGGGCCGTGTTTAGTGAATTTCAATCATATCAACATTGCTTTGCATTCAAGGCAGAGAGATGAACTGTGCAGCTTCAGTATTCAGGGAGGCAGCTCTAGCATCAGCAAAAATAGTGTGAGATCTTCTGCTTACGGCCAAATTCACAGCCCTGTATTATGGTCTTCCCTTCCATCTACAGGTCAAAACAATATTCACTGATCTCCTTCCCTCAGGCACAGTTCAGTATTAACTTCCAGCATAAAGGACACCGTTTCAGCTTCAGTCTTTCTTTTGGCTTTGATTCTCCTGTTATTTTTTCCCAGATCACTTAAAGCCAAAGATGCTTCTCCCAAATTATCCTGCCTGTTCTCTTCACCATCTTTCCAAGGAGTTATGTTTCAATATGTTATTTTCTAAGTGGTCATGGTCACTTAGGCTTCGATGCGCCTGTTGCTGCCCAGGATGAATCCAGAAATCCAGGATGTGGCTGTCACTGAGAGCCCAGGTAAGTGACTTCATCTTTAGTGAGCTGTCCATGCAGAATAGGGAATGAAAGAACAAAGTGAGCCTGAGAGGAAAGCTGCTCCTGTGTTCTCCTTGCAATCCCAGTCACTTTGGGGTGTTTGGGGGTGGTGGGTTTGTTTGTTTACCTTGTCTGAAAAAGGGTCATAGTGCATTCAGTGGGGAAAAAAAAGCTGTTAAAGCAGATCTGTTTAGAACACATCTAGAGAGGAATTTTATGTGGATGCAGTTATGAGAGTACACATAGAAATTGGTGAGAAAGCAGTTCCCAGTAGTTCCATCACGGTTAGCCCTAGAAAAATCTGTTTCTGAAGTGACTCACAATCAGTGGTTGAATAGGGTCCCAAAATCTTTCTACTTATGAGAAAACAGTAGTGTGTAATATTTTCTGCTCCACAGCATTGTCTAAAAGACAAACCCTTTATGAATTTTAGGAGCATAAGGATCCTGGCTGTTGGTGGTCCCTACTGGACTGGTAACACGTCTGTGAGTTCTCTGGATCCACAGATAAAATGTCCTCCCTGAAGAAAACCTCTGGATGCCTGGGTGTATGTTCCCCCATCATTCCAGTGAGGATGTGAATCCCAGATCTCTGACAGATGTTACAGCTGCCTGCAGACTATTTGTCATCCTGCCTGAAAGCATATGGAAAACCTCCTACCTGAGAGGAGCTGCCTCCTCCCAGGAACACCGTCCTTCCATGGCTGTAAGCATCCATCAGTTCTGGAATCTCACCTATCGCTCGTCTCCAGGCAGGAGGTGCCCAGCGTGGGCAGCGTAGATGTGGACTTGCAAGTGGCCTCTCCAAAATGGTGGTTTGGCATCTACCCCTGTCCACAGCCTCCTTTCAGGGTCAGACCGACCTCACACAGCAGACTCTCTGCTGTGGGACCAGATGGGCTTGGCATGGTAACCCTATAATAATAAATGTGGGGGTTGTTTGTTCTGCCTTTGTGGCTGTGTGCTGTGTGTGAGGGAGTGCAGTGAGCAAGGATATGGTGTCCTGAGTAGAGTAGTTAGTAGCCGAACAGCTTTGTAGCGACCTGTCTCCAGTGTCGGTAGCATCAGCATCCCATTTAAGCTGCAGCGCGGTAGCTTTAGCTGGTCTTTCAGGGCTCAGCCACTAGATGACTCTGTCCCACAAGGAAGAAGAGGGAGGAGCCCGGCTGTGTTTGGCACACCGGGTAGGCATCCATGCCCTTCTCAGTGCGGGGCGGGGCGGCTGTTTGCTGCGTAAGGAGCAGAGAGCAGTGGTTTTGTGCATCAGGCCAGAACTCCTTGGAGAAACACATGGAGCAATCCTCTGTGACTTTTTGCCATTTTCTTCTCTTTGTAGACCTTAAGATACTGACCCCCCAGTGCAGTGGGAATCCATCCTTTCTTAGCAAATGAAAGAAAGAAGTTGGAGACTCGATTGAGAAGAGGGGATAAGTAAGGGCTACATGTGGGCAGGAGCAAAGAAACCCAGTAGGGAAACTATTGAGAGCTGGATGAAGCCCTTTGTCTGGGTGATGAGGTCAGTAGTACTGGAATACAGTAGGATTTGTTGAGACTCTGATAGACTTTGATCTGTGCACAGAACTGACATCAAATCAGATTTCTTTTGCTTTGCTGTGATGACTAAAGCAGTGTAGGGCACTTGCATCCTTAATGATGTCTTTAAAGTGCAGCATGAGCACTGGACGAGATCGTGATGTGGGTATGACAGATTTCTTGCCCTGCCTGTATTTGACATGTCTGTCTCTCCATCCACCTTTGCATGTCTGCAGGGTGAGCAGTGCACAAGCATGACTGTTGACTTGTTTGCTTAGCTGTGTGAATAGTTTGGCAGTGACCAGGATATCTGTGAAACTGAGCAATAAAATGCAGCTTTAGGAGTGCTCTAAGGACTCTGAGGGGCATTGAAAGGACCTTATTGTTTCATATGATACCTTGTGGAGGTATCTTTTACTCTTCTTTATAGCGGAACCTGCTGTTGCTCAGTGTGTACCCATATTTTGTGGAAAACTGTTAGGTATCATGTTTTTAAAGGACCTTCAATCCTGAGTATCTATACCATGGGCAGTAGGAAAACCCAGGCAGCATTGTAGAGTCTGTCCTGATCCAGCAATGCTTTGTCACCTGTGTCAGTATCTTGATATTCATTCTTCACCTCCACCTTTATGGTAATAGATTTGTCTAAGTTTGTACTGGTCACCAAATATGTGCTGTCAGGTCCCAGGTTTGCCTCCTGGTAGATTTGAGGTATCTGCTGTTTCTCAGAGCTCCTGCCACTGCAGCTCTCAGAAGATCACTCCACTTGGATTCTCCATTGAGTTCACTCATCTTGGTTCTTGTCTCCTGCTCCTGCTAGGCTTGTGTGTCTGACTGTTGTGTTTCAGTGCCTCTTCCCATCACTGGAGAGGGAGTTGGTGGATGGCTCTGAGGGGGGATTTATTCAGAGCTTCTCATCTTCAGGGAAATTTTTTTCTGTGAATGCTGTGGCCAGCGTTTTCAGCCCTTAGATCCCAAAAGAAAGACTATCTGATCAGGAAGGAGAGATTCCCATTCTGATGCAAAGCCAGTCAGAGCAGGTAACTGCACAGTCAGGCTCTGGCTTCTCAGAGATTGGTTGTGATAAAATCTGTGGCTCAATTTCAGCCCAAAATGTTTCCTTGCAACCAGCATCCTAGAAGTCTTCCTGTAGCTTATAGTTCCCATTACAGCCACTCTTCCCTCCTGCAGGTAGAGTCAGTGAGTCACACAAGACAAAGGTGTTCATTCATTAGCATCACCTAACACAGTCCCTGTGCTAGGAATAGCTGTAATTAACAGTCAGTACACAGAAGCCTTGAGACAGCTTCTAAATAATAAACTGCTTTAAATCCTGCTCCCATAAA